TCAAGCCTGCTATCCTTTGGACAGGAACCAAGCCATCAGTTCTCCTGGGTCTTCCGCTTGCTGGCTCATCCTGTAGACTTGCCAGCCTCAATGATCTTGTGAGTCAATTTCTTTTATGAATCTCCTTATATATATACACCCATACACACACATATATCGTATTGGTTCTGTTTCTTTGGTAAACCCTAATACAATATTTATATTTCTTTGTTTTTGTTTTTAGACATGGTCTCACTCTGTCTCCCAGGTGGGAGTGCAATGGCAAGATCATGGCTTACTGTAGCCTCAACCTCCCAGGCTCAAGTGATCCTTCTACCTCAGCCTCCTGAGTAGCTGGGACTATAGGCCACGCAATCATGCTTGGCTAATTTTTGTATTTTTTGTAGAGCGGGGTTTTGCCATGTTACCCAGGCTGGTTTCGAACTCCTGAGCTCAAGCAATCTGCCCCCTCAGCCTCTCAAAGTGTTGGGATTACAGGTGTAAGCCACCGCACCTGGCCAATATTTATATTTCTCAAATGCATCCTCTCTTTTTCCATGCTCACTTGTGCAGTCTTAGTTGATGTCCTTAATTCTTCCCTGGACTTTTGGAATAATTTCCTTGTTCCAGTGTCAGTACATCCAATTCATTCGTCCCCTCCTTGCTTCAGGAGTGCTCTTTCTAAATACAAATAGGCTAATGACAAACTGCTTTTAAACTTGTTTAGCACACTATTTCACATCTTCAGGATGACAGTCAGATTCATTAGATTGGTGGATAAAGTCCTTCCCAATCCAGTCATTTCTTCATCTCCAGCCACATCACACTACCTGCCACTTCTTGCCAGAGAAATCTGCCTTATCCTCTTGGTCTTGCACTTTTGTATGTTTGGTTACTTCTGCCTGGAATGCCTCTTTCTTCTTCAATCAGGAAACTCTCATAACAGGTGTGTGTGTCTGACATTGTCACCTCCTTAGCACACACCTTGGATTTACCTCCCTGAACTCCAGGGGTGAAGCAGTTGGAGGTCTTTTTCTATTCATTGCCTTCAATTGAGCATACTCTCAGGGTGTGTTAATTCCTTGGCACTTTAGGTCTTCCCAAAATGCAGGCAAAGCAGGCTCTGGTGGACAAAGAAAGTTGATATGCAAATAACTTCAGGTGCTGGCAGTTAGAAGTTGGCCCAATGTGCAGAACGTTCTGTTCAGGGGCATATGGGCTTGGCCTAACAGATCTGTTATAGCCCTAATATTATGCTGTTGTTGGCTTTTCAATCAATGCACAAAGCTGGAAAGATATAGAGCTGACCCTGAACAACAGGGGTCTGAACCAGTGTGGTCCACTTATATGCACATTTTTTTCAATATATACAGTTGGCCCTCCATATCAGTGGGTTCCACAACTGAAACCAAGAGTAGGTGGAAAATACAGTATTCTTGGGATGCCAATGGTCATATCCACAGGTTCCACAGGGCCAACTGTGGGACTTGAGTATATGTGGATTTTGGTGTACATGAGAGGTCCTGGAACCAATCCCCCATGGATATCAAGGGATGTCTGTAATTTTACCTACAAAAAGAATGCAAATTCTTGACAGACTAAAAATAAGAATGAAACTAACAAAATTAGGAGGGGAAGAAGAAAGGACAAGAGAAAGTACGAATGCACCAATTCCTCACCTCTCCTAGTAGGGAGCCAATACACAGTGTGTAAAATTTATAAATAATGATTTAGGTAAACAACCTAAAGTCATGAAAGCTTCTAGCAAAACTAAAATACAGTTTTTTAAATTAGGAGCTAAGAATAAGTTTTTGTCCCTTTGAAGGATTTTCAGCTGGTGAATCAAGATGTATATGTACAGTATTTGAGGTTATAATGAAAAGAACCAGAAGAATTAAAAACAGAAATTGTTAATTGCAGTTGGGTCTAGGATATGGTAACACACAAGGTAGGTGGGTAGGTAGGAAGGGTAGGCGAGAGACTCTTACTTTTAATATGTTCCCCCCTTTTGTTTGGATTTTTAACCTTTATTATGCATTATTTCCATAACAAACAAATGGAAATAAAGTATAGCTTAACTGCAAAAAGTAACTTTTAGAACACCCTTAACAAATATTTTGCAGGAGTCAAATCAAATGAGGTAGGATCTATACAATATGTATGAACATCAAAAAATGATCAGGACTTCTTTAGTAAACTAAAAGACAATAGGCATAGGATCCAAATTACGGAGTGAGAGGAAGTATGTGTGTGTATGTAACATTACCTCTGTACAGCTGACCCTTAAGCAACATGAGGTTAGGGGCACAGACCCTCACAGTCGAAATTCCACTCCCCAAAACTGTATTAACAGCCTACTGTTGATCGGAAGTCTTACCAACAACATAAACAACTAACATTTTTTTTTTTTTTTTTTGAGATGGAGTCTTGCCTGAGATGCAGTGGCGCAATCTCGGCTTACTGCAACCTCCGCCTCCTGGGTTCAAGGGATTCTCCTGAGTCAGTCTCCCGAGTAGCTGCGATTACAGGCACGCACTATCACATCTGGCTAATTTTTATATTTTTAATAGAGACAGGGTTTCGCCATGTTAGCCAGGCTGTTCTCAAACCCCTGGTCTCAAGTGATCTGCCTGCCTCAGCCTCCCAAAGTGCTGGGATTTCAGATGTGAGCCACCGTACCCGGCAATTTTGTATGTTACATGTATTATATACTGTATTCTTACAATAAAGCTAAAGAAAACGTTTTAAGGAAATCATGAGGAGAAAATATATTTACTATTCATTAAGTGTAAGTGAATCATCATAAATATCTCCATCCTCATAATTTTCACCTTGAATAGGCTGAGAAGGAGCAGGGGTTGGCCTTGCTGTCTCAGGGGTGGCAGAAGTAGAAGAGGTGGAAGAGGAGGCAGGAGAGGCAGGCACAATAAGTGTAACCTGATGGAGATAACATCATAATTTGTCTGACTTTTTTGCTTTTCCATTTCTCTAAACATGTTTCCATTTAGCAACAATCTTTCTTCCACCATTTGCTTTAGATTCAGTGCCTGTTTTCATAGAAAAGTCCGTGTTCTAAGAGAAGTCAAAAGCCATGTTGAATAAGAGGAACCCTTCTTCCAGATTGTCTGGCACTGCATCTTCTTCCTCATCATCTGGCACTGGGTTCAGAAGGAGTCATCTCCATCAAGTGGTCTTCTGTTAATTCCTCTGGTATGGTGTCTCTTAGCTCTTGAATTTCTCCAAGTATCTTGAAATCTTTTTTGCCATATCCACATGATTTCCTTGATTGGCTCTGTCATAAATCCTGTGAAGTGATGCACAACATCTGTAGTTTACTCCAGCAGGAATTTGTTTGGGCTTGATGGCTTTTCATGGGTTTTTTCTGAAACAACAATGGCATCTTCAATGGTGCGATCCTTCCATATGTTCATGATATTCTCTCAATTGGGGTTCTCTTCCACAGAGTGCTGTGTGTAATGATCCTTAAAGTCCTTATGACTGCCTTATCTAGAGGTTGAATTAGAGATGTTGTATTTAGGGGCAAGTAGACCATTTCAACGTGTTTGTATTGAACTCATGGGGTTCTGGATGGCCAGGGGCATTGTCCAATATCAAAAGAACATTAAAGGCAATCCCTTACTGGTAAGGTAGTTCCCAACATTAGAAACAAAGCATTTATATTACTGATCCAGAAAAAGAGTTGCTGCTCAGCCATCTTGCTGTAAAACCAAAAGAGTGGCAGGCAGTGTTTCTTTTCCCTTCAAGGCTCAATTTTATAGATAAGGGCAGTCCTGATCATAAATCTGGCTGCATTTGCACAAAACAGTACAGTTAGCCCATTCCTTCCTGCCTTGGATCCCGATGTTCGCTTCTCTTCCTAATTAATGTCCTCTGTGGCACTATTTTCCCCCAGAATAGGTCACTTTTGTTTGCCTTAAAAACCTGTTCAGGCAGATATCTTTTCTCTTCAGTGATTTTCTCTATTTTTAAAATTTTCATTTATTTATTTATTTATTTATTTAGAGAGAGTCTCATTCTGTCTCCCAGGCTGGAATGCAGTGGTGCAATCTCACTGTAACCTCTGCCTCCTGGGTTCAAGCAATTCTCATGCTTTAGCCTCCTCAGTAGCTGGGATTACAGATGTGCATCAGCACACCCGGCTAAATTTTGTAGTTTTAGAAGAGATAGGGTTTTGTCATGTTGGCCAGGCTGGTCTTGAACTCCTGGCTTCAAGCAATCCACCCTCCTCAGCCTTCCAAAGTGCTGGGATTACAGGCGTGAGCCACCAAGCTTGGCCTTTTGTCCTCAATGATTTCCTTAATGGTGTCTGGGAACTCGTCGGCTGCATCTGGGTCAGCAGAAGCTGCTTCTCCAGTTATCTTGACATTTTTTGAAAGCCAAACCTCTTTTTAAAGTTATCATACCATCCTTCATCTTCCTTTTGCTTTGTCAGATAACGACTTCACTTCTTCTTGAATATTAGATTATATAGGTATGCCTTTCTCATAGCAATCCTGCACCCACAAAAAGCTACATTTGCAATAGGAAATAAAAAAGTATTTCCCAAAAAGTGCAAGGTTTTCATGCCTGTTGGTGTAGCTGCAATGATGGCTTCATAAACTTCCTTTTGTTTTTATACAACAGTCCTTATACTGAGTATGTGTGGATTCTGGTGTACACGAGAGGTCCTGGAACCAATCCCCCATGGATATCAAGGGATGTCTGTGATTTTACTTACAAAAAGAATGCATTTATCTTAAACGGCAGGCGACCTTAGCTGCAGACCTCAATCTACAATACATAGCAAGCAGTTCAACTTTTTCTGTAATGTCATGAACTTTTCTCTGATTCTTGGGAGCATTTCCAGCATCACTAATGGCACTTCATAAGGGTCCCATGGTGTTACTCAAGGTTTACAGTACTGCACTAACCACAATGAGAAATATGTGAGAACCTCAAGAGCTTACCTTTTACTGTGATATGCAATGTACTGGAGAGATCAACTGCTCACTCAGAGATGATTATGCTACTTGAAATTTTTACCCAATACCAGCAACACTGATGCTCACTGCAATAGCAACAGGAAGTGGCTACAAAATCATTACAGTAGTACACTATGTACTACAGTGAATTTGATGCAGTTATGATTTAATATTGCATCTTTACAACTGTTTACACTTCTCTTGAACCTAATGGGTACCATGTAACTGTCTGTTTGTATGTGCAAGTTTTGATAAATTTTAACTTTTTATAACAGGCTTGTATATATTTTATGGTAGTAAATAATAAAATAGCCTTGTATCTACACATATTTTATGCATTCATGACATATCTAGCTTTTTCTTTTCTTTTTTTCCCATATTTCTTGGCTAAGAGATTCATCTGTGAGGTTTTTCACAAAATTGTTGCCTTTGCCAAAAATTTTCCATTTACTGAAAAAAATCCACATATAAGTGTACCCAAGCAGTTCAAACTAATGTTGTTCAAGTCAACTGTATAAAAGGTATTAATATGTCTGGAAAGAGATATCTTTCCAATTTAACAGACACTACCAGTGAGAAGAATTGGGCTAGGCAGGAAACTTCAAATTTTTTCTGTATATATTCTATTTGTATCTCAAATTATAACCTGTAGATCACGTTTATTAGAAGAAAATGCGGATTCCTGAAACTTCCTGCAGACCCCATAAGTGACAATCTCAGGGGGTTGGAGTTCCAGAATCTGCTTTTTTTTTTCATAGATATTTCCTTGTCATTCCTGTGTATATTTGAGTTTCAGTAGCACTGCTCATCAGTTGTTTGGGGTTCTCTCTCCTTTACCAACATATTCTTGCAAAACTAACCAAACACACACAAAGCGCAAACAGTACAACAGTGCACTGCACCTTCACGACCCTTACCTCTTCTAGCCTCTTCCTACCTCTTCCACATGCGATACATGTGTACATACCCACAGACGGAAACACAGAGACGTGTTTGGAAGCCAGTGTGGATGCCCTGTGATCTGTGTGTACATGTGACACGTGCATACACATGCACATACAGGAACACAGAGAAGTGTTTGGAAGCCAGTGTGGACGCCCTGTGATCTGCGCGTACACATTTGATACCTGCATACACACCCACAGACAGAAACACAGAGATGTGTTTGGAAGCCAGTGTGGAATCCCTGTGATCTGTGCATACACATGTGACACATGCACACACACCCACATACAGGAACACAGAGACACATTTGGAAGCCAATGTGGATGCCCTGTGATCTGTGCATATACATGACACAGGCATACACACCCACTGACAAGAACACAGAGATGTGTTTGGAAGCCAGTGTGGATGCCCTGTAATCTGTGTGTATGCACGTGACACGTGCGTGCACACCCACTGACAAGAACACAGAGATGCATTTGGAAGCCAGTGCAGGTGCCCTGTGATCTGTGTGTACACATGTGACACGTGCATCCACACCCACTGACAAGAACAGAGAGACACATTTGAAAGCCAGTGTGGATGCCCTGTGATCTGTGTGTACACATGTGACATGGCATACACACCCACAGACAGAAACGCAGAGATGCATTTGGCAGTCACTGTGGATGACCTGTCATCTGTGTGTACACATAAGACATGTGCATACACACCCACATACAGGAACACAGAGACACATTTGGAAGCCAATGTGGACACCCTGTGATCTGTGCATACACGTGACACATGTGTGCACACCCACAGACAGGAACACAGAAACACATTTGGAAGCCAGCGTGGACAACCCATGATCTGTGCATACACATGTGACAGATGCATACACACCCACTGACAAGAACACAGAGGTGTTTGGAAGCCAGTGTGGACGCCCTGTAATCTGTGTGCACACACGTGACACATGCATGCACACCCACTGACAAGAACACAGAGACCCATTTGGAAGACAGTGTGTGTGCCCTGTGAGCTGTGTGTACACATGTGACACGGGCATACACACCTACAGACAGAAACGCAGAGATGCATTTGGAAGTCATTGTGGATGCCTTGTCATCTGTGTGTACACATGAGACACGTGCATACACACCCACATAGAGGAACACAGAGACACGTTTGGAAGCCAGTGAGGATGCCCCGTGATCTGTGCATACACATGACATGTGCATGCACGCCCACAGACAGGCACACAGACACATTTGGAAGCCAGTGTGGATGTCCCGTGATCTGTGTGTACCTATGTGACATGTGTACACATTCACTAACAAAAACATGGAGACGCATTTGGAAGCCAGTGTGGACGCCCTGTAATCTGTGCATACACACGTGACACGTGCGTGCACACCCACTGACAAGAACATGGAGACCCATTTGGAAGGCAGTGTGGGTGCCCTGTGATCTGTGTGCACACGTGACACGTGAATGCACATCCATACACAGGAACACAGAGACACATTTGGAAGGCAGTGTGGATGCCCTGTGATCTGTGTGTACACATGACACATGCATGCAAAACCACTGATAAGAACACATAGATGCATTTGGAAGCCAGTGTGGACGCCATGTAATCTGTGTGTACATGTGACACGGGCATACACACCTAAGACAGGAACACAGAGACATGTTTGGAAGCCAGTGTGGACACCCCATGATCTGTGTGTACACGTGACATGTGTGCACACCTACAGACAGGAATATGGAAACACATTTGGAAGCCAGCGTGGACACCCTGTGATCTGTGCGTACACATATGACACATATATGCACACCCATGGACAGGAAGAGAGACACATTTGGAAGCCACTGTGAATGCCCGTACACGTGTGACACATGCATGCACACCCACAGACAGGAACACGGAGACACTTTTGGAAGGCAGTGCGGACGCCCTGTGATCTGTGCCCACACACGTGAGACATGCATACACACCCACTGACAAGAACACGGAGATACATTTGGAAGCTAGTGTGGATGCCCTGTAATCTGTGTGTACACACGTGACACGTGCATGCACACCCACAGACAGGAACGCAGAGACACACTTGGAAGCCAGTGTGGATGCCCTGTGATCTGTGCATACACATGTGACACGTGCGTGCACACCCACAGACAGGAACACAGACACATTTGGAAGCCAGTGTGGACGCCTGTGATCTATGCATACACGTGACACATGTGTACACACCCACAGACAGGAACACAGAGACACATTTGGAAGCCAGGGTGGACACCCTGTGATCTGTGCGTACACATGTGACACGTGCGTGCACACCCACAGACAGGCACACGGAGACACTTTTGGAAGCCAGTGTGGACGCCCTGTGATCTGTGTGTACACGTGACACGTGCATACACACCCACAGACAGGAACACAGAGACGCATTTGGAAGCCAGTGTGGACATCCTGTGGTCTGTGCACACCCACATACAGGAACACACAGAGGCGTTTGGAAGCCAGTATGGGCAGACAGGCCCTATCCCAAAGCGGCCGGCAGGCGTCTCCCAAGAATGGTTCTTGGACACACCTCTGTGAAAGGAAAATACAACTCGGCACCGCAATTGACTTTGCCAAAGGAAAAAAACCTAAGCTGAAAGCTGAGTCCTGCCCGAAGGAGCCTTTCCTTCGGCGCCTGAGCCGAGGGCTTCAGGGTGAGGGTTGCGCATCGCAGTGAGGCCGGCTGTCTTCCCGTAGCTTCAGTAAGGCGACGGCTCCCGCTGCTCCTTTCCGTCGGCCACGCGGGTCACACTGCCTTCCCCTCCCGCCCACCCTGAGGCGCTGAAGCCCTCGACGCCATCCTCGGGAGAGGCGCGGCCCGTTTCTGATTCCCGTTTCCTTCCTCCAGGAGCGTCCTTCACCGTGGCCAAATCAGCCTCTCAATTGCTGGAGCCCGGCCTCGGGCACTTCTCGGCTTACGCCGCCATACAGTGGCGCACCCCGAAACCCCAGGACCGACAGCTCGGCTGACCTTGCGCACCCGCACTCTCCAAGGCAGGACTCGGTCCGGGGAGCTGGTTTTGCCAAGGCGAGGGGCGCGGGGCAGCCCAGGCGGCGGGATGGACACCCGGAGAGCGCGTAGTCTCCGGCGGGACGGGGCTTCCAGGGCCCAGAAGAGGTCCAGGACTCTCCGCGGGCGCCCGGCGGTCGGCGGAGGGCCGCGAGGCAGGAGGGAGTGGAGATCGCTGCCCCAGCTCGGGCAGCGCGGAGCCCACCCAACGCCCTCCTCGGCCCTCGGCTCTTCCTGGGGCCGTCCTGCCCCTGCACCAGGGCCTAGCGCCTTTCCGGTTAGCCTCGGAGACCCTGGCCGAGCAGTGTCCGTTCGCCTGGGTAGGGGGCCTCAGGACATTATTTCTGGGTGACAGCCCGCAGGGCCTTCCGCCCCTCGCGACCTCTCGGGAGTCCCTTCCCCGACGCCCGCGGGGCTGCAGGGGCCGCAGGTTCGGTCTCGGGGCCTCCTTTCCGCAGTCCGCCCAGCTCTAGGCTAGTATGCTTTAATTACGTCAATAACATGACTCCGGCGATCCTGTGCGGCTTGGGAATGCGGCCGTGGGCGGCGGAGTCCAGGCGGAGTCGGCTCTCCACGCGCGAGGGCGCCTCCTCCTCACCTCTCGCCGGGTTTAAAGCTCGCGCCTCAGGCGACGGCGGCCAACGGGTTCGCCGCTGAAGGCCCCGCCGAGCCCCGCCCCCCACGCCTCGACGCCCCGCCCCTTGCGTGCCCACCCGCGCCCCGAAGCCCCGCCCCCAGCGCCCACCCTGCGTTTCGCGGTTCAGTGGTCCGGCGCTCAGCAAGGCCGGGTGCCAGCGTCAACCCCGAGGTCTCCATGGCCCGCCTCCCGTCGCCAGGGGGCGGGGATAGCGCGCTGGGCGTCGGGGCGGGGCCTTGGCTGCGTCGGCTGCGCAGCGCGCGCGCCGAGCGGACCGTGCTGCAGCCGTTGGCCGTTAGCGTGGCTTGGGCGGTTGTCTTGGAGAAGCAAGATGGCGGCGACGGCGGCCGCAGTGGTGGCGGAGGAGGACACGGAGCTGCGGGACCTGCTGGTGCAGACGCTGGAGAACAGCGGGGTCCTGAACCGCATCAAGGTGAGGCCGGAGGCTGGGGCCGGGTCTGGCGGATCTGCAGGGCCTGTGTGGACAGCGGTCGTCACAACGGTCGCGGCAAGGAGGCCGCCTCCCTGGCGAGGGACCGGTGCCGGGGGGCATTGGGGGCGCGCCCCGGCAGGGCCTCCGTCCTGCCAGCCCCACAGAGGAGGTCGGCTCGTTCGTTCGTTCGTGTGGTCCCGGAGGGCACCGCGGACTGGGGGCGCCTGGTCCGTCCCCTGCTGCGTTCCGTGGGGGCGGGACCGTGGGGCCTGGGGGCCACACGGGCGGCCCGCACCTCGGCCCTGGAGCGCGGCCCCAGCGTCTCTTCCTCAGACTTGGGCATGATCCGCGGCGGGAAAGCAGCGCGTCCAGCCAAAGCCTGGGGTCACAGAGCTTGTGTGACTGAGAACGTTTCGGAAGGCGTTTCTGGCCTTTGCACCTGCCCGCCCAGCTCGTTGCCTTGCTTGTGTTTGTTGCTGGCTAAATGTGAGCTTGTTGTGAAAATTGTCTTGAAATGGTAATTTCTTGTTTCTTAACTTTTTTTTTAAGGCTGAACTCCGAGCAGCTGTGTTTTTAGCCCTAGAGGAGCAAGAAAAAGTAGAGGTATGAAGTTTCCTGATTTTAACATGGCTGTGTTCGTTAATACTTAATTTCTCGTTCATTAAAAACCGTCTTAAAAATAGTTTATAGTAATGTATAGCTAGGGATAATTTTGAACTGTTAAGGATTATCTTACTATTGAGAGAGAGCCAAAACTATTCTTTTTTCGTATAGTTTTTGAATTTGGGGGTAATCTTAAAGTTAAGGTACCGCAGTAACTCTGATACCAATGCTAAATCTGAAACAAAAGTTCATAGGAGTTTCTTGAAGAAATGGTTCCATTGTCAATGTGTTAAGTGCAGGTTCACTCAGATCTTTTAATAAGCTGATATGTTATTAATTCCTATGAAAACGGGGTATGTAGTGCAACTTTTCCCAAAATTATCTGACCACTCAATTATTTTGACAATGAAAAAGACAGTGATTATTTTAAAAGTGCAACCACTTCTCTATGTTTACGTGGGTAATTTAACTTTTTCTGAGTCCCACCAACCATCCTGAGTAAATATTCTGGAATTTGTCAACAAGAATAGAACCATCATCAAAGTCTTAAACTCTTGCTTTATGACATATCAGTCTCCTGCCCTCTCACTTCGTTAGACCTGTATACCTAATCTCTAATTTCATCAAAATCTTCAGTTATTTGCCCTTTCCATGTCTGTGCAGGCGTCAGTCTTCTCTTGGTGGCGTTTTGTTCTGGACCCTATGGGTCTGGACCCCTAATTACCTTGCCTTACAGTCATTGGGGGTCTGGAAGACATCTCAATGATCATTTAACCCAGCAAACTAACTCTCTTCCCATTTTACACATATGTGCTCCTGGAGAGGAGTCAGTCAACCATGTGGATTGCTGATGTTGCAAATTGGCAGGTACCAACCTGGTTAGGTCCTGAGCAGACCCAGCAGCTCTCTTCTTCACCCTACCTGTGCAGTAGCCTTCTGTGTCACCCCTGCTTCCTTCTCTCTGAACACTTGGTCTTGTCGCTTCCTCCACAGGGAAGGTAGAAGCCATTAGATCCTAACTCTGTCCTCCTCTCCTATCCCTCAATCTATTGCTCACCTGTGAAAATGTTTACCCGTGTCTATATTTATCTGTACCTCTTTCCTTACTGCTTTAGAAGAGGCTCTGTCCTGTCTAAGAATAATCATTCTGTCTTCTGTATACTTTCAAGTCTTTAATTATTTACTGTGTCTTTGACCCCATCCTTTTCTGGTGGCGCTTCTTTTGAGCATGAAAACATGTTTAAATAACTATTAGGAGTAAACTGTTTTCCTTTACTTACATTCTGCTTTTAATACCACTGTGGTTGTTTTCCTTCACAACCTGGTTTGGTTTGCTTTGCTTTGGTTTTTTTGAGACAAGGTCTTACTCCTTTGCCTAGGCGGGAGTGCAGTGGTGCAGTCATAGCTCACTGCAGCCTCAGCTCCCTGGGCTTGATTTTTCCACCTCAGCCTCTGGAGTAGCTGGGACTACAGGCGTGCACAACCGCATTTTAAAAGAATGTTCATGCTTATTCCATTTATTATATCCTGGGCTGCCCTTAGTCACTTAAAATCTTTTTTTTTTTTTTTGAAACAGAGTCTCACTCAGTCTCCCAGGCTGGAGTGCAGTGGCGCAATCTTGGCTCACTGGAACTTCTGCCCCCTGGGTGGGGTTCAAGTGATTCTCCTGCCTCAGCCTCCCGAGTAGCTGGGATTACAGGCACTTGCTATCGTGTCTGGCTAATTTTTTTGGTGTTTTTTTTTTTTTTTTTTTTTTGAGACGGAGTCTCGCTCTGTCACCCAGGCTGGAGTGCAGTGGCCAGATCTCAGCTCACTGCAAGCTCCGCCTCCCGGGTTCACGCCATTCTCCTGCCTCAGCCTCCCGAGTAGCTGGGACTACAGGCGCCTGCCACCTCGCCCGGCTAAGTTTTTGTATTTTTAGTAGAGACGGGGTTTCACTGTGTTACCCAGGATGGTCTCGATCTCCTGACCTCGTGATCCGCCCGTCTCGGCCTCCCAAAGTGCTGGGATTACAGGCTTGAGCCACCGCGCCCGGCCTTTTTTGGTATTTTTAGTAGAGATGGGGTTTCACCATCTTGGCCAGGCTGGTCTTGAACTCCTGACCTTGTGATCCACCCACCTCAGCCTCCCAAAGTGCTGGGATTACAGGAGTGAGCCACTGCGCCCGGCCAATCCCTTAAAATCTTTTTTTTTTTTTTTTTTTTTTTTGAGACGGAGTCTTGCTCTGTCGCCGAGACTGGAGTGCAGTGGCCGGATCTCGGCTCACTGCAAGCTCCGCCTCCCGGGTTTACGCCATTCTCCTGCCTCAGCCTCCCGAGTAGCTGGGACTACAGGCACCCGCCACCTCGCCCGGCTATTTTTTTTTTGTGTTTTTTACTAGAGACGGGGTTTCACCGGGCTAGCCAGGATGGTCTCGATCTCCTGACCTCGTGATCTGCCCGTCTCGGCCTCCCAAAGTGCTGGGATTACAGGCTTGAGCCACCGCGCCCGGCCCCCTTAAAATCTTAAATCTACCACTACCACCCTAAGTAATTTCTTTTGTTGCAGTCAAGAGGAGTCTCCTAATTGTGAGCATATTTTAGTTCCTACCTATCCTAGTTGATGATTGTGACATTTGACATTCTTTTTTTTTTTTTCTTTTTTTGAGACAAAGTCTCACCCTGTCACCCAGACCGGAGTGCAGTGGCACGATCATGGCTCACTGAAACCTCAGCCTCCTGCCTCAGCTTTCCAAGTCACTGGAACTACAAGCATGCACCATCACTCCCAGCTAGTTTTTAAAAAAATTTTTTTTCGTATAGATGGGGTCTCTCCTTTTACCCAGGCTGGTCTCGAACTCCTGGTTCAAGCATTCCTCCCACCTCAAACTCCGAAAGTGCTGGGATTATAGGTGTAAGCCACCACGCTAGGCCTGTGATTGACATTCTTGATTCCTCCTTCTTGAAAACGTCTTTGACCTTTGAGACCTTTTTCTGTTCTGTTTTTCTTTTTTTGACCACTCCTTGGTTTGTTTAGCATGATCTTTTTCCTGTACACCTGACTGAGACTCATCCACAGTTGTCATTCTGTACTCTCTCACAGACTGACCTTATTCATCCAGTAACTCCAGCCATGTAACTTTCATGCATATTTCTCTCCTGAGCTTCAGACCTGTATGTTAAACTGCCCACTATATTATGCCCTTAATGGGACCATCATTTATCTGGCAAGAAATCTAAGCGTTTCTTAAGCCTTGCTCTTCTTACTTCCTGCTCAGTCATCACCTGCCTCTGTGTGTGTCAGGTGTATATCTGAAGTGTCCCCAAGGGAGTGCTCTGCTGCCTCCTTTGTGCTTGTTTTTTCTTTTCCAGATTGCTTTATCCCCTTCCTATGTGCCAGCCTCCCTTTCTGTGGTGTCCCTCACCATCCTTGAAGTCATTTTTCCACATTGCTCCTAGACTGGCTGTTTATAGTACACATCTGATCTTGTCCCTCCATTCTCTTTAAATATTTCAGTTGACTTAATATCTTAGAATTCCCTAAACCAGCCTACCAACTACCTTTATGATCTCGCCTCTCCTTGTCTTTTATTTTAACAACTTTATTGAGGTATAATTGACCTACAATAAAGTTAAAGTATTTAATATGCACAGTTTGATTTTTTTAATAGTTAATTTATGCAGCTGTGAAATGATCACCACAATCAAGGTACTGCACATATCCATGACCTTCAAAAGTTTTCCTTGTGCCCCTTTTGTAACCCTCTCCTCCACCCCAAACCTTTTTAAGAATTATATAAATGGAATCATGTAGTATATGCTCTTTGTTTTGGTCTGGTTTCTTCAACATAATGCATTTGAAATTCATTCATATTGTAGTATGTATTCATAAATCATTTCATTAATACATTGTATAGATACGACAGTTTAGCGATTACCTGTTGACAGACATTTAGGCTGTTTCCAGTTTTTGAGTATTACAAGTAAGGCTTCTGTGAACAGTCATGTACAAGTCTTTGCTTGGATCTGTGATTTCTCTTGAGAAAATAAGTAGGGGTGAAGTGACTAGGTCACATGCTAGGAATATTTGTGACTTTTAAGAAACACAACCAAATTGCTGTCCAAACTCATTATGCCATTTTGTATTCCCATCAGCAGTGTATGAGGCTGCCACTGTAGCAGCAATTAATGTGGTCTTAAGGAAGCTTACCATGTGCCACCTGTTGTAGCCTGTTCTCAGCAACACTCAGAGGCTTGATGGTCTAGAAGTATTTTTTCCATACTTATTCAAATGTATAATTACAAAAATACGTTGGCCTATGGGCCACATAAGATCATCTCACATTTCATGGATAAACTGGGAATTACAAGTGTATAATTAAATTCCTGTTCATAATAAGTATGCTATAAATGGTAGATACCTGAGATGACAAAATATCAAACTTCATATATTTGAAATAATAAACAGTTGTTGACATTTAATTTTATTTCACACAGGTATTTGAAAATATTTTCAAAAGTTTATAAAATATTTAAAATTAAAAATAAATACAAATCATATATGGTTTTGTTATATTAACTTTGAGAAATTACTAAATAGCACAAAGTAAGTCCTGTAGTAATTAACAGTTATAGAATGGATTTTGTAATACCATAATTTTATCGATGAAAACTTTAAACTTTATATTTTGTATTTGTTTTTAGGGTAAACACAGGACACTTAACCTTTTTTTTTTTTTTTTAACAGAACAAAACTCCTTTAGTCAATGAGAGCCTGAAAAAGTTTTTAAATACCAAAGACGGTAAGATGTTCAGCTTGTTCTTGTTTATCTATCTCTGAATTTTTGAATCTTGATACCATTTGGGAGAAATCAGGAATTTCAGGGAGTTTTTTTAAGTCTGCAATTCTTATAGGTCTTCATTTTAAAATAATATTTCATTGTACAACAATTGTGTTGCTATTACATATTTTCATACTTGGGATGTTGCTTAAAGCCAGTTTTACTACAAAAAGCCAATATTAGCTATTAAAAAGCGAAACACTGAAATCTATGAGATGACTGTCTTACAGTTAGTTACAGACTGATGATCCCAGTGAAAAAATTAGGAGATTGAGATTTTCATTACTTAATCATGTTATTCAAAGACGAAATTTGTAACTTAAAAAATTCAGAAACCTTTCTTCCTTAATTTAGTGTATCTATTTCATAATGTTAATTTAAAAAATTCGGTTTTTAAAGGTTTGCTTACTTACCTTTTTCTTGATCTTTATAGGTCGTTTAGTGGCTAGTCTTGTTGCAGAATTTCTTCAGTTTTTTAACCTTGACTTTACTTTGGCTGTTTTTCAACCTGAAACTAGCACAGTAAGAATAATGATTTTTACATCTATCCTTTGAAACCTTCTTTGATACAAATGAGTTAATATTAAGCTGAAAGTTAATAGAATTTGACAACTGATAGTTTTTTACATTTAGATTATTTTTGGTAGTTGATTATCTGTTTTTCTTAAAAGCCATATGAGCTTTCAGATAGCTGGCACAAGTGTTGCTGCTTTGTGTTACTTGAAAGCTTGCTAATAAAAGTGTTACTGTAGGGTTAATTTTGATACGATGTTAGATTGCACCTGTTAATGAAAACTTTGAAAGTAGAGGCTCTGTAAAAGAAATAGGCATAATTTTTAAAAATAGACATTTCATTCATTAGTAAGACGGTCTCTGAGTTTAAAGATGTTTTTAAACTCTGAAAATATTTTCTTTACTCTTAAAATAACTTCTGCTATTTTTTTGTGCACTTGCATCTTTTCTAGCTGCAAGGTCTCGAAGGTCGAGAGAATTTAGCTCGAGATTTAGGTATAATTGAAGCAGAAGGTACTGTGGGTGGACCCTTATTATTAGAAGTGATCAGGCGCTGTCAACAGAAAGAAAAAGGGCCAACCACTGGGGAAGTAAGTAGAATTCTGTGTTATCTTTTTCTATTTTAATTATTGGCTTCTTAGTTTAGCGATGCAGATTAGTGCATATATAGTAAATTAAGGTTTTCTTTCTTTTTTTTTTTTTTTTTTTGAGACAGAGTCCCGCTCTGCCGCCCAGGCTGGAGTGCAGTGGCCGGATCTCAGCTCACTGCAAGCTCCGCCTCCCGGGTTTATGCCATTCTCCTGCCTCAGCCTCCCAAGTAGCTGGGACTACAGGCGCCCACCACCTCGCCCGGCTAGTTTTTTGTATTTTTCAGTAGAGACGGGGTTTCCCCATGTTAGCCAGGATGGTCTCGATCTCCTGACCTTGTGATCCACCCGTCTCGGCCTCCCAAAGTGCTGGGATTACAGGCTTGAGCCACCACGCCCGGCCTAAATTAAGGTTTTCATACTGGAAGATATTCCTTAAAAACGAAATGAAATGCATTCAGATTGTATCAATGCAAATTTTAATGAAAATTAGGAATGTGCTGACTCTTGATTCTGTGGCACATCTGTTCTGGTTTTTGATCCTCAGGAGTGTTGGGTCATGAGCTAAACTGTCTGGAACAAATCCCAACTCCTCGATGCCTCGCTTGATCCTCCATTCATTTCATACTGTGTATGAAGTGGGCTCTACCAGGCCCTACCTCAGTGTTCTGAGACTTCTCTGCATAAGCCAACAGAAGCACTCAACTTGCTGTTATTTTTATTAAAACATCTTAGTTAAATATAAAAGGGCTGATTTATAGGATAGTTAATAAATTTTTGGACTTAAAGGCCTCTTTAAGCTTAAAACTAAGCTGTTGATTTTGCTTTAAACTGTTTAGAAACAGTTCAAACTTATACTTTTTTGATTAGTAGTACTTTTCATACTCAACCTTTTTTTTAGAAATTGTGCTAATGAGATTAATGATCTAATTTTTATTTTCATACATTAATTTTACATAAAGATACTCTGTTTTATAGATATAGGTAACATCTGTAACTGTTACAGATATTTGATTAAATGTGATCTTTTAGTCCAATTTATAGGTAAGAATGTGGAGGGCTATATAGGTTTCCTACTTATTTTCTTTGGTGAATCTCAGAGGATACTTTCTATTAGAATTTTTGAAAATTGATAAAGCTTGCCTGAGTACTAATATATATAAGGCATGGTAAATAGACTTCGTGGGTACCATAAGATAAAATATAAGAAACTTCTATGTCTCTGAAGAGCGCAAAGCTATTTAACATAAAATGTGCTCAAATGAGGAAGTTAACATTTAAATAACAGTTTAAGATTATGGAGGAATTGTCATTTAACACATTATTTGCAAACATATTATGAATAGTTTAGAGGAGGAAGCAATTGTCACATGCCAAAATTTCATTGAAGTCAATTTTAAAGTGAGAGTAGGATGTCAGTTGTGGGGCGAGGATTGGGAAGGGTGTTCCGAGAAGTTGGAACAGTGCCAGCCAAGTGTGGGAGCAGGAGAGCATAGCCAGATCCCGGGCTGGCTGGGAGTGAGGTGGCTTGCTCAGAGCACAAGTTGTCACTTCAGCTTGTGCATATAATTTCATTCCTTCATTTATCAATATTCAGCAAGCTTTTATTGTGTGCTTATTTGATAGATACTGTGCTGGGACTAGGCAATCAAAAACAAACTAAAGAACCCAGTCTCCTGGGGCCAGCAATCTGTAGGTCTTGATGACCTCTGTTGCCTCTCCCCACTTGGCTTCTGTGCCCCTGAAGGACTCTCTTCTCTTTCTAACTGGCCTTTCATTTTCTTTTCTGTTTAGTAGTTGTGCTTTGGCTCACCTCATTGCAGTGGTGTTTATGCACATTTTTGTGTCTAGATTGATCTTTCTTCCTTAACATACCACTAGCATGGACTCTGGAACCAGGTTACTTGGGTGAAACCCCAGCTTTGCTACATTCTAGCTGTGTGAGCCTGCAGTCACTCAGCCTCCGTGTGCCCAGGTTCCTTATCTGCAACACGGAGATCACAGAAGTATCGTGCCTACAGGTCTGGAGGGGGTCTGAGGAAGCAAGATGTGTGAAGCTTTGAGCACAGTGCTTGGCACGGAGGACTCTGTGTGTCATTATAGTAGGCATCAGTGGATTCAATTAACTGCGAATTGAAAATATTCGGATTGGCTGAGCGCGGTGGCTCATGCCTGTAATCCCAGCACTTTGGGAGGCCAAGGCGGGCGAATTATGATGTCAAGAGATGGAGACCCATCCTGGCCAACATGGTGAGACCCCGTCTCTACTAAAAATAGAAAAATTAGCTGGGCACGATGTTGTGCGCCTGTAGTCCCAGCTACTTGGGAGGCTGAGGCAGAATTGCTTGAACCCAGGAGGTGGAGGTTGCAGTGAGCCGAGGTTGTGCCACTGCATTCCAGCCTGGCGACAGAGCGAGACTCCATCTCAAAGAAAAATGTTTGGATACAATACAACAAAAGAATGCAAATCTAGTATAAAACTATTTTTATAGCATTTACATTGTATTAGATATAAGTTATTTAGACGTGATTTGAAGTACATAAATTATATGCAAATATGTCATTTCACATAAGGGACTTGAGCATCCTTGGATTTTGGTGTCCACAGTGGAGTCCTACAACCAATCCCCTGTGGATACTGAGGGATGACTGTATTAGTATTACTGTTTCTTGTTATTGTATGGATGACTGTTTAAGTTCAGTGTAGTCTGCCTAAGTCCAGCTCAGTCCTTTATCCTAGCTCCAAACTAGAATTTCCAGCTCTTCACAAAACATACCTCCCTGGATAACCCAATAGTACATTCGAATCCTGTGTGGAAAAACTTACTTTCTTCTCTTTACCTCTAAAAAAGTAAAAACATAAAGACAAAAACAAATCCCACCTTACTCCCTGCAAATAACCCTCTTCTAGTTCTTCCTGCTCACTTCTCTGTTTTCATTGATTCTATTCCTGTGACTCCTTGGTTTCATCCCAAGGAGCCGACTTTCACATGTGCTCTAGATTCAGTTACTCTGTCAGGAAGGATTCACTCTCCACCTTGCATCCAGTAGCTTTGGTAACAGGCTGTGGAAGAAAGAGTAATTGCTGGAGGGCTTTCTCTTCTCTGCTGGATAAGATGTGTACCTGAAAATGACACCCAGTAGCATTCCTGTGTAGTGGGTGTGATGTGAAAATGGACACAGAATCGCTGTTCTTCAGTACTCCATTCTGACTCGTGGATTTGAGGCCTCCCCTCAAGTTTGCCTTGACTTTTTTGTAGCTGTGATTCTGTCAAATAGACCCAGGATAGGAATTCTGTATCCTCAAAAGGTAGTTGTTTTACTCCCCCAAGTTGCTGAACCACTAAGTTGGGCATCTCATCTCCATTTTTTGCTAGTTTTCCCTTCCTAATATCTGGGTATTTAATTTTAATAGTTTGTGTGTATGTATATAAACAAATAGATAAAATATTTAAAATAGAGACCTCAAAGATGTATGTTTTGGCTCTTCATTATTTATTAGTGTTTTCTATTACTTTGGAAGAAAACCTGTCATTTATAATGAAATAAAAAATTAGAGCTTTTATTAGCTTTTGACTTTGGCTATAGAAAACTAGCTATAGGTTAAGTTCACTGAACTAAATTACTGATTTTTTACCACAACTGCATTTAAACCACCTCAAGAATTAGGTTGCTGTGCCCCACCCGCTTTAATGTGACTTTGGTTTGATTTTATTGGATGCTCCCCAGCCGTAGGTAATTAAAGCCCTTTCTTGTTTTCTGAGCCCCTCAGATCATTTTCATCTCCTTCAGCACCTCTACCATGTAGGTCCTTATGTCTGTCCAGGATCATTTCTTCCTAAAGGTTCTCATGCTTTCAGTCTGTCATTCACTGTTGCAGAATTATTTTTAAACTTCAGCCCTTCCTCTGTTCCTTTCTTCTGTACGATTGTAGTGGCTGTGCGCTGCCGACTCAGGAGTCCCAGATTCTTCAGCCCTTATGAAATGTTCTGTGTGATGTGGCCTTAACCTTTCTTTCTAGCCTTATGCCTTTTTTTTTTCTCTTTTGAGACGGAGTCTCGCTCTGTTGCCCAGGCTGGAGTGCAGCGGCGCGATCTCGGCTCACTGCCAGCTCCATCTCCCAGGTTCATGACATTCTCCTGCCTCAGCCTCCTGAGTAGCTGGGACTATAGGCGGCCACCATCAAACCTGGCTAATTTTTTTTTTATGTATTTTTAGTAGAGATGGGGTTTCACTGTGTTAGCCAGGATGGTCTCAATCTCCTGACCATGTGATCTGCCTGCCTCGGCGTCCCAAAGTGCTGGGATTACAGGCGTGAGCCACCACGCCCAGCCGGCATAGTGATTTTTAACATACTGTTCACAGTCAGTGGAAGCCTTTGAAAATTTGAACAGGAATACCCATTTGGAAGATTTGTAGAGGTTGGATTGGTAAAATATGGAGAAGTTAGCAGACTAGAAGGAGGTGAAACACGTAAGAAGGCAAATCTAGACAAGAATGGTAGCAGTAAGAATAGAAATAAGTGGACATATAGGCTGGGCATGGTGGCTCACACCTGTAATTCCAGTACTTTGGGAGGCTGACGCAGGTGAATCACTTGAGGCCGGGAGTTTGAGACCAGCCTGGCCAACATGGTGAAACCCTGTCTCTATTAAAAATATAAAAATTAATGTCAGGCACGGTGACTCATGCCTGTAATCCCAGCGCTTTGGGAGGACAAGACGGGTGGATCACCTGAGGTCAGGAGTTCGAGACCAGCCTGGCCAACGTGGTGGAACTCCATCTCTACTAATATCCAAAAAAAATTGGCCAGGTGTGATGGCTCACACCTGTAATCCCACTTTGGGAGGCTGAGGCGGGCAGATCATTTGAGATCAGCCTGGCCAACATAGTGAAACCCTGTCTCTACTAAAAATACAGAAATTAGCTGGGCATGGTGGCGTGCACCTGTAGTCCCAGCTCCTCGGGAGGGCGAGGCAGGAGAATTGCGTGAACCTGGGAGGTGGAGGTTGTGGTGAGCCGAGATCACGCCACTGCACTCCACAGAGCAAGACTGTCTCTAAATAAATAAATAAATAAATAAATAAATAAATAAATAAAACAAGAAATTAGCTGGGCATGGTACTCGGGAGGCTGAGGCAAGAGAATCGCTTGAACCTGGCAGTCGGAGGTTGCAGTGAGCCAAGATCTCGCCATTGCACTCTAACCTGGGCAACAAGAATGAAACTCCGTCTCAAAAAAAAAAAAAAAAAAAAAAAAAAAAAGTCGGATGTGGTGGTGCATTCCTGTAATCCCAGCTACTTGAGAGGCTGAGGTGGGAGGACCACTTGAATCTGGGAGGCGGAGATTGCAGTGAGCCGAGATCCACCACTGCATTCCAGCCTGGGTGACTGAGACCCTGTTTCAAAAAAAAAAGAAAGATTAAGAAAGAAAAAAAAAATGAATAGATTAAGATGACCTTTTAAGAATCAACAAGACTTGGTAAACTAATATTTTGGCATGGGGCAGGGTCATAGAAGGCAATATGAGAAAAGAAAAGCTCTCAAAGGCCAGTTTAAGGATTTTAGCCTAGAAGAAGATAGTATCACCACCAGAAATAGTGGGACTGAAGAGGGAGAACTGAAGTTATGAAGAGCAGCACATTTTCCTATTTAAAAAGTTACTGTCAGTCATAAAAGGATTTTTGTAACAAACAGCCAATAGTTAATATGTACACAGTGTCATAGAGCTTGTGCTGGTAGTGGATGAATTGTAGGAAGTGATTTTCATTTAAGAAACATTTTAAAAACCTCCTCCTTTGCGTTAACCACAGTGCTCAGAACCCTGTGGTGACAGGGCACTGGGCAGCAGACACAGATGACTCCTGTGGAAGCTGGGCTAGAACAGGTGTGGAAGTAGAAAAGTGGAAGAGTGTACTACTATTTGAAGGGGTAAAGTATTTTTAATGAAAATTGTTATTTAGTATTTTTTCTTGAGATAAAATGAAGTAGGGAAACAAATTCAATGAGGGCAAAAAGTAGATCTTAGAGAATTACAGGATATTATTTGTCTGGAGAATAGGGAGAAGGGAAGTGAGGAAGTAAATGCTGGAATGGTAGACCTGGGACAGATTTCAGTGGAGACAGTATCCTGTTCAAAGTGAACGAATGAAATATTTTGCAGGTTATTAGAATCTAGGGATGTGTAGAAGGTTTTTGAGGGGGTAAAATTAGAGGAAAATCTAAAAAGAATGGTTACTTTAATAAAGAAGAAATAAAATACCAACATTGTATAGTATTTCTAAATGCTAAAATTCTATTGGAGTATAGTTGGTATATTCGTGTTTTATTTTTAAATGTATTTTAATTTTAAACTAAAATATTTTAGGGTGCACTAGATCTATCTGATGTACATCCTCCACCAAAGTCACCAGAGGGAAAAACAAGTGCACAGACAACACCAAGTAAGGTGAGTGAGCTGCGGAACCCAGAAGTCATGTCTGGACTCATCTCCAGAGGGCTCTGCTCTTCTCTCTCTAGTCTTTCTTGTTACAAGTTGTATTGTTTTATAACACATGGGCTCTTTAGTTTCTTGAAGATGCTTTTTTTCCATTAAGTACACATTTAAAAAATTTTTTTTTGCTTTGTTGGTGGTGGTTTGACATTTGTATCGTAGAAAGGAATGTGCTGGTAAGTAACAGAATCAGAATATTTGGATTTATTTGGTACTTTGGACATTTTTCTCCTATTAACAAGGGGATTTACTTACTTTTCATTTATAAATTCCTAGCTTGAGAATATTAAGCTAGGAATATATATTACAGGATATAATATTGAATGAATATTTTAGACTTCTAGATGGGTGATGAGATTCAGAATTGTAAATCATGATGGTTTTTAATATACATGGGCTGTTTTGATAGAATTTCTAAGAAAATGTATGTACTTTGGTTACATTTATGTGTGTATGCATGTGTGCATCTGTTTGTGTGTTTATGAGTTGTTAAAAGTAAGACTTGATTTCAGAGGTTAAGCATAAAGAAAAAAAATGAGCTGTACACTTTGAATTTAAGATCCAGGATATGTAGGAATGGATAGAAAGATGATTGTCAGGAAATTTGTTTTCTCAAGAGTATAGCTTGAATTGGTAGTCCCAGGCGGTCTTATCAAAGGATAGGTTTGGGTCTGTCTTAGTCTGTTCAGGCTGCCAAGTACCATAGATTGGGCAGCTTACAAACAACACATTTTTTCTCACAGTTCTGGAGGCTGGAAGTCCAAGATCACGGCATCACTGTGGTTAGGTCTGGTGAGGTCCCTCTTCTAGGTTGCAGAGAGCTGCCTTCTCGTTGTGTCCTCATGTGGTGGAAAGAGGATGAGAGAGCTCTCTGGGGTCAAGGCCCTAATCCCATTCACAAAGGCTTCACCCTCATGATCTGCTCACCCCTCAAAGGCTCCACCTTCTGATACCATCACATCGAGGGTTAGGATTTCAACATAGGAGCTAGCGGTTTGTGGACTACACAAACCTGCAGTCCATGACAGGTCAGGTTTGTATTCTTTGACTTTCCCTTTGATTTTCATCCCATAAGAACAGAGTGATGCTGTGGAATCCATTCCAAAAGATGAGGCCCCCATGTGGGTTTATGGTGGTGGATCGACTCTCAGATATAGTTGCATCTTTTTAAATAGATGAAATTCCAGAATGTAGTGATTATACTACAAGATTCCTTTCTTTTTTAAATGTCTAGGCACAGAACATTGCTGAACGATTGCTGTTATTTTTTGCCTGTTCTTTGATGTTGTTGCTCCTTTTATTTAAGTTTGGAAAACTAAAGGAATTTTATACTTTATTTCTAAACAAGGGAACAACTATTGTATTGTTTATAGTTGCTCCTTCTGAGATTTCTAGTTTGTGTTGGGAAGGCATTTAAAAAAAATTTTTTTTTTCCTAAATGCTCATAGGAAGCTATAACCCCAAAGACAGAATAAGGTCATGAGTAAGTTTTTAAAATTTCTTTAAATTAATTGCAAATAAAACAGCCTATGTAAGTAAGCTTTACTTTTCATGAAAATATCTGGCTTTAGAAAAATTAAAATTAATGAATATTCCAAAATACTTATCAGTACCTATAGCATTTGACTATTTGGAAGCTCTTTTTAGCAAATTATTACTGTGTTTAAAGCAAATTAGCAATCCTAACCTTCTACATATAGGGTGTGTCTTCTGGGTAAAATAGTAAAGTCTGTTTTACGTACTCTTATTCTCTCTACATACATTTTAAGATCTAAGAATTAAAATGAGAATCTCAGTGTTTTAGGTCAGTCAGGAAATGATGCTGTGAGTTTTTCCAGAGAAGCGGGGACTGTCCTGAGGCTGCTTTAGAGAACAGCGTTTGTCCTAACAGCTGTCTCTGCTTCTCCTGCTGCCATCCCGTTATTTTAGTTGAGTCCCCATTTCTCAGTTGGCCTCATAAACCCTCTTCAGAAACACCCTAGATAGTCCTTGTGTAGGGTTGCATCTGTTCAAAGATAAACCCTTATTGTGACACGTAAAATGCAATGTCTGTAGTACTAAAGGACCTGGATTTGGGATCCAGTACTTTCCCTACCCTCTTCTTGCTAGCTACCTCCTACTGGCACCTAATCAGCCTTGAGGGCCCATGGGGAATGCTAGAAACTCTCCAAGAGTAGCGTCCACCCAACCTTTAGGAACCAGCTTTGTGTGCTCCTGAGAAAGATCAGATGAGGTCAGGACAAGTCTTCAAGGACGTTTCCTAGGAACTCAAGTGAGGCTTATTTAGTATGTTGCTAAAATGTAGCATGAAAGAGGTGATTCTCCACCCAGTAGAAGCTGAGCAGGTGGAGGCTACAGTATCTGTGTTTGACCTAGTAACTATTGGAAACAGTAAACATGAGGTAGATCACTTTAGGAATAGAGTTAAGAAAGGACCAAAAAAGCAGGCCTCACAGAACATATTCACTAGATGTTGCACTTCTGAGACATTTTTCAATAGGCATCTTTGTTTGGTAATGAGTTAATTTATTTTTAAAGATTTCTATTTTGTGGTAAAATCTCATTTTATTCTCATGCTCAGATACCAAGGTATAAAGGACAAGGTAAGAAGAAGACAAGCGGGCAGAAGGCTGGTGACAAGGTAACACGCATGAGGGCAGAGGAGAAAAGCAGCCTGTGGGCATCAGGTCTCAACTCTGGGGCCTCCTGGAGTGCTGGGCTCCTGTCAGGTTGGGTTCTCAGTTTTCTTATGAAATGTCACTTGAGGCTGGGCACGGTGGCTAACGCCTGTAATCCCAGCACTTTGGGAGGCCAAGGCGGGCGGATCACTTAAGGTCAGGAGTTTGAGACCATCCTGGCCAACATGGTGAAACCCCGCCTCTACTAAAATACAAAAATTAGCCGGTGGTGGTGGCACATGCCTGTAATCCCAGCTACTCGGAAGGCTGAGGCAGGAGAATCGCTTTAACCTAGGAAGCGAGGTTGCAGTGAGCTGAAATCGTGCCATTGCACTCTAGCATGAGTGACAGAGTGAGACTCTGTCTAAAAACACAAAACAGTAAGGATGGCATGAAATAAAAAGTAAATTTCACTGTCAGCTTTTATCCAGGTGAAAATCATACTGTCGAATCTTAAAACCATGCTCTCGGTTTTACTTTGAAAATTCCTGTTTTGTTGGCAATTAAAAAAGTTGAAAATATGGATTTTTCTTTTGAATGGATGATTAAACACATATTTTTAACATTGATTTTTATCTGAGGAAAATAGAACATCAAACTATTTTTTGGATAAGTTCTCATTGATAAATTAAAAATTAAACTTATTTCCTCCAAGACATTTTTGTGTTCTGTCATTTTTCAGACAATTGCACTTTCGTGACCCTTTATTCAGAGCCCCTGCTCACAGTAGACTGCTGGGGGCCAGTGCTGCATACCACCAAGGCCTTGGCTGCTTTTTCCTCCTCCCCTAAAGATCGCAAAAATTGACTAATCTGGTAGATTAGCTGCTTATGAAATTTAAATATTAGAAGTTTTAGAAACATTATCAGTACAGTTTTTACATCTCCTTAGGATAAGACAAAATGTTTAATTTTCAGTTCTGTGAGATTCATTAGTCCTATGTTGAACTTCGGTTATGTATAGATATTTTCACTAAGTTGAAAATCTTCAAAATTAAAGCTTTTTAAAAATTCCACCTGTTGTGTTAGCTGGCTTTAGTTCTAGTAGTTTCAAAGGTAAATTCCTACTATTGTATTCTCTTTGTTCATACTGTTCTTTATGCGTTATTAAACAAGAAGATGCTCTAAAATAATGATTAAGTTTTTTTTTTTAACATTTACATAGTGAAAGTTATTGTGTGTCAGTGCTTTGGGCAACACATGTAACAGTTCTCACTTAAGGAGTTTATAGTTTAATTGGAGAGATGAGACATATCTTAAGTAAGATATAAAACTTCTTAATAGATTTTAAAAATCAATTTCTTGGACTTTTCTAAAATTTAAAAGCGTATTTTATAGTATTAAGCGTTTATAATCTTATTGCTGTTGTGGGTTTTAAACAACTTAAACATTTTCAAGAAGTTTATACATAGAGCCTAGGCGTATTAAGAGATGTGGTTTTCACTTGTGTGATGTGATATAACTGTGATGGGCCAGACTTTTGCTTTTGCTGTATTTTGGGCAGAGTGTAGTGTGTGCCCTGACTTGAGAGGGGACTGAAGAACCTAGATGGGCCCATATCCCAGGATTTAGTCTGTAATTTGGGTCTCTTCTATTTCATTGTTACGTTCCTGAAGGCCAGGATGCCTCCTCAATTACTTGGAAATCTTTTTCCCTGTACATTTCTGATCTGGTTTCTGAACTGCCTTGTGAGAAGTCTGTATTGTAGCCTGTGTAGCCTATTGCCAGCCTTACTTATATGGGTAAGCCCTTAGCTCTTTGTTTCCCTGCCTTTCTGCTTTGCCTTGTGCATGCAGTAAGTTCCTAGCAGCCTTAACATTCTCAACATCTTAATTATCCAGATGCTATGTTGCATGTGGTTGAGGCTGTACACAGCAAGACTCCAGATGGAGCCATCCACATGGTAGGTGAGTGGCGCCTCCCAAGGTGTGCAAAGCCATCATGGGAGCCCCGCCTGTCCTGCATTCGTGAACTGGGCATGCGATGCAGGAGGGCCAAGGGTACCGCTGCTCCCGGAACTCTGGAGCACTGATCAGGAGTGTCGCATGTGTCCAGTTACTTTCGAATGCAGGAGGGGGCAAGTACTAGTGGTTCATTCAGAGACCCTGGGCACTTTCTTCAGGGAAGCTATATTCATATTATAAATAAACTTTAAAAAATCATTAATATGTACAGTTAGAATTGATTTGTAGGGTTTTTGAACTGATGTAACTTGGGCAAAACTGAAGTTCTTATTTTTGTTGTTGCTGAGAGACAATAAAGATAAAAATAAAGGTTA